TCAGCTAATCAACGATGAAAATGTAAATATAAGCTAACATATGTTCATATACAAGTATTAGGAAAAATACAATGCAATTATATTATATACAGGCAGGTTCTGCAATTCAGTTCCGAGTGAATTTCAACCCCTGTCAATTTGACTTCAACGCTAATTTGATTGAAATTCACTCGGAAATGAATTGCAGAACCTGCCTGATTATCTTTTGTTTTCAAGGAGCCGTTAAAAATTCCAAGAGTTAGCGACACACGATGGCTTTCAATTGAAGGGACCGTATCGCGAATACTACAGCAGTGGCTGGAGTTGAAGACACATTTTGGTATTACTAGCAATTCTGAAAAATGTCATAAAGCAGAAATTCTGTACGAAATGTATAAAGATGAACGAAATTATCTCTACCTTCTGTTTTTGAGGCCAATACTTGCCGAGTTACTTGCTCTTAATAATAGCTTTCAAAGTAACAATACTGACCCGACGAAATTACTTAAAGACTTTGCAGTTGTAATTAATTCTTTAAAAAGTAAAATCATTAGCCCAGATAATGATGTTGATGTAATCTCGATTGATTTTGAGCAATATATCAATAAAAGTTGCTATTTGGGATATAACTTCGAAAAGAAAATATTAGAGATGAAATCCTCCTCTGGGCTAACCGAGGAATCAGAAAAATATATAAGAACAATATGTACAAATTTTGTAGTAGTGCTTATCAACCAACTAAAACAAAGGTATAATAGTAACATGCACATATACATACGTATTAATATAAAATTATTTGAAAAATGTTATTATTGCAGGTTACCAGATAATTTCGATACGATTAAAAAAGTTAATATGTTTTCAGTGGGCAATGTTTTACGTGCATCGCATGAGGAGATAGAAGATGTTTTAAAACATTTTAATTACAGTGATGATATGATAGAAAAAATTATAATTCAGTATAATAGAATTAATTTTGTAAAATGGAATAATATAAGCAATACAATGCAATTTTGGGCAGAAGTTCAAACTTATACGGATGCAGGTGGTAACAAATTGTTTTCCGATTTGGCGGAATTTGCACTTCATTTACTTTCACTACCTTGGTCTAATGCAGACGTGGAACGATTATTCAGTCAGCTAAACTTGGTGAAAACAAAGCTACGCAACAGTATACACTTAATTACTATAAATGCTATATTAAGTATAAGGTACAATTTTTATAAACAACTCGTGTAGAAGTTTTATATTAAATAACATAAATTTCCAGATACGGTCTTAAAAGGCATAATAAGTGCTGCACAGACTATGAAATTCCAAGAAGTTATTTAAAGATGATTGGAACAAATAAGGCATACGAAAACGAGAGTATCGATTATAATAATCAGTCCGATGATAATTTATATAAAATTATAAATGAGTTGTAACCTGCCTAACTTTTGTGAAAACTGAAAGTTTAGTTAAAAAATAACGTTCGACTGAAATTTTCATACATAAGTTATATTAACTTTTTAACCGACTTCGAAACCTCCATCAATTCGTTGCAATATATTTTTGTTATGTACATATGTCACCGCATAACTTTGGACCACGTTAACCGATTTCTATAATTATTTTTTTAAAGAAAAGGCGGTAACTCATATGTGGTCCCATACTTATTTGGTTTACATCCGATCATTGGATCATGAAGAAAATAACGGTACACTTAAATTTTTATATGAGAATTGAATTTTATTTTTTGCTTAAACATAACTTGTATTCTATATTATTCGATTTCAAATTTTAATTTCAAGTAATGTTTCCAATGATTTGCTTAAAATTAAATTAATATGAACCTATTTATTCTTCGGCTTTTGTTTTGTGGAATTTAGCTTTTTCTGGCGGGTTTTTATAAAAATCTGGATTTTTTTACTCCAAAATAGTTGGCAGCACTGACATACGCACACCAAGCATGCAGAGCGCCGCTCCGAGAGCGGTAATAACACACACATTCATACATAGTACATGTTTATCCGTACAAATCGCGTGCTGTGGTGTTGATGGATATTCAAGGCGCAAAAATTACAGGTGATAGCGATAGAAGCTATGCTTCTTCTTATGAGCACGCTTGTGTCAAATTATCGCCTGTTTTGCTTTACTTACATATCCGTATATATATACCCTGCAAACAAATGCTCTCGAAATCTTTAAGAGTGTCGGAAATTTGTTACGATTCTTTTAGAAATCTTTAGAGAAAAACATATGAAGCGGTTGACAGGAACTAGTAAGAAATTTCTGTACGATTTCTTAAAGAAAATTCTTAAAAAAATTGTGAAACCTTTCAGAATTCTATGAAATCCTGGTGTGCAGGGTATACATATACATACGAATATGAATATATAAAGATGTTGATGACACAAGGAGTTCATACCAACGGTAAATGTACAACCTGTAGCTGTTGAATCATGATGGATATTCAACATTTGAAAGCAAATTTATATTCCTGGGTGTAGCTGAGTGCGCAAAGATGCATGCCACAATTTGTTGATATCCAGAGATGGTCAGGGTTCGAATTCCACTGCAGGCAACATGCAAGTTAAATATTTTTTTTTTTAGTTTTTGTCTTGATTATTCACTTCACGAATGCTTTTTTAGAATGAACGCGGTCATTTAATATGCGCGTAATTGAATTGAATATTTACCAATATACAGTACTTTCGTTGACGTTTATAGTAAGATCAATTACGTTTCTATTTAATTTTAATATTTTTTCCCCTCAGTGTAGATGAATCGGACGATATTATCTTTGTTGGCCTGAAAGGTTTCTTCATTCGTCAAAGCATTTTTCATGAGTTTTAGTTCTACGAAGGTGGAAACTGATAAAATGTTATTTTACTGCTGCGATAAGGAAAAGGTGATGAGAGTTTGCGACGGCAGTATTTTCGATTTGTGGTTTCCTCATTGTTCAGTACAAATTTTAAAACTTTTGGGCAAGCATCGTCTTCGTACTAATTGTGAAATATTTTCATAGTCTAAATAAAGACGATGCAGCGTATTTAAAGATATTCTGCTGAAAATTGTGTCAATAAGCTCCAACTAACTTTAGTGTCGACTTTATTTTCACTATCAATACGCCGAATTGTATTTTAGGCAATATCATGTAGATACATTCAAATATCAAATTGAAATAAATTTGTTTTTCTTAAGGCCAGTATGCAGCTCTAAAGAAAAGAAAAACTCCATATGAAATGACGTACAATAAATGGATAAGAAATTTTCTTGTGTAAAATTTTATTGAGGCAGTATGCAATTCTTAAGAAGTTTGCTAAGCTTTTTACTACGGTTTTCTAAAGTTTTTTGTGAAAAAGCGCACAAGGCAACCCATGCTTGCAACAGAAATATATGCCCGTTCCATTATTTCTTGAGGAAAGAGTGAGGCTGGTGAGGTATCAGATGTCAAAATTCGTTGGACACACACGCGAAATAATGGCAATTTTTTCTTTACCGTTTTCTTGAGATCTGCATACTGACCGTTAACTAGAAATGTATATTTAGTCAGGTTCTGCAATTCACTTGCGAGTGAATTTCAACCCCGGCCAAATTGAATTCAAAACCAATGAGATTGAAATTCACTCGGAAGTGAATCGCAGAACCTACCAGATTATGGCGAAGGTTTAATGTATGCATAGAATCTGTACTGTGTACCGTAAAGGAAGTATTCGGTACCGAAATCTTTATAAAGTATTGAGCACCGGCAATTCAGCACATCACTATTTGCCAGTGGGGAGCGAAGTTTTTAGAAATTGAAGCTAATCAAGACGTATTTATGATCTACCATGTCTCAAACAAGATTTAACGCTTTGGATACTTTACCGGGATTGCCACACAGATTGCCTTGTCCAAAGCCATCCAAAAGTTTGCTCAAGCCAAAGCACGCAAAGCAAACTTTTCATCCCTGAGCGCACTCGTGCACAAGGGTATATTAAGTTTGTTCGCATAACGGCTGTTTGTAACAGCCAAAACGAATCGAGATAGATATGGACAAATGTATACATAAATGATCAGAATCAAAAGAGAAGTCGATTAAGCCATGTCTGTCTGTACGTCCGTCCGTGTACAGAATACCTCGTGCAAAAATTTAGATATCTGAACAAAATTTGATATGTATCCAAGGTAGGTTGGTATTGAAAATGGGCGAAATCCGACTGTAACCACGCCCACTTCCCATATAACGGTATTTTCGAAAAATGCAAAAACTGCGATATTTCAGAATATATTAGATGCAAATTGTTGAAAATTAGTATGTGAAGCAGAATTTTGGTAAAAAATAGTATTATTAAGAAATTTTTTGAAAATGGGCGTGACCACGCCCACTTATGATGACATGCCAAACTCGGTACGAGCCTTGCCTAGGGCCTAGCTAAGAAATCTGTTGAAAATCTTTGAAGTCGGCCAATAAACACGGCCACCTGCCATATAACGGTAATTTACGGAAACACGAAAACTGTAATAAATCAGTAACTACTGGAGCTAATTCACTTAAAATCGATGAATACAATAACCACTTATCAAAAAAGTAGAATATTATAAATTTTTGGATAATGGGCGTGGCGCCGCCCACTTATGACCACAAATGTGTATCTCGGATTTCCACCGAACTCGGTGCACTTAATATCCTTGGTACGGAAAAGCAATTTGTTGAAAATTATTGAAATTCGACTAAAATTACTCCCTCTTCCCGTATAACGGTAAATTTCCGAAATACGAAAACTCCGATATTTCAATAACTGACTTTTGGGAATTGGGCGCAGCACCGCCAACTTTATAACTACAAAGGTGTACCTCGGTAACCACTTAATCGATTTGTACCTAACCAGGTTCAATTATATCAGTAAGTCTAACTCTGCGTATTATCGAAAACATTTGAAATCGGGTAAAGACCCCTACTTATCATGCAAAGGTAGTTCAGAAAAAGTTCAAACGACGATATTTGATACCTGCGCCGGGTATATAAAGTTCGGTTTCGGTCGAACTTATACTTCTTTACTTGTTGTAATTGATATTTGAAAATTTTGATTATAACAAAAATAAAAATTTGTTTAAATTTCTACTATTTTTGCAATACGTTGATTCTAATAAAGACTTAAATATATTCGGAAATTTAGAATTTGGCTTGATAAATTCACAAAATTTACGGTTTTCATAAAAAATTTAATCTTACAATGGACTTTTTTTATTTTAAACTTACATTTAAGAAAAATCCATTCAATGCTATAATTACGATTTGAGTTTTCCAGTTTCTTCATTACGCATGAATATCAGCATACATTAAAGATGAATATTATACTTAACCTACATTTTGTTCATAAATAACACATAATTGTGTATATTTTATCCTCGAAAAGTACTTTTTCTAATCGTGAGGCGAAATTCCCCACAGTAAGTGTTGCCGTGCGCGCAAAACGAACACGCTGCACACAACCCAAAAGTACTCCTCGGGGACCAAATGGTGAAAAACTGCGAAAAGGTTTATTACTGTAGATACTGTGAACTAAAGGCACAATAAGAAAATATGCATGAGGGCTTGCGAAGTCAGTTTTATTTTGCTCGTCAGTTGGTATTTAGAGAAATCAAGACCTAAGTTGATAAAAAAGTAACTTTCTGCAGGGGCTAGCTTCCGTTCACGCAAACAAACTTAATACCATTTACATATTTTGCATGTGTTTTAACACGTGTTGTAGTCGCCAAACATACATACTTACATATTTTTAAGGTTTGTAGTAAGCATCAGCTGTCATATTTAATTGTAATTATAATTTATTCCATTTCATGTTATTAATGTATACATGATTTAATTTCCATCTTCCCATCTTTGCTAACATACCTACATATGCCTTCATAGGTATGCACATATGCATGTATGAACATGTTTTTTTCACTATCATGGTATGCACATACCATATTTTTCACACTTCATTTTCATTTGCATATCGCCCATTGTTCAATAACAATCGCTGTTGCTGTTGATGCATTGCTTTTGATGGCATTCGCATAGCATTCGGCTTCTACTTTAGTTTCCGTTGCAGTTGTTTTCATGTTACTGCTGCTGTTATTTTCCCTCTTGATATTCTTGTTATTATTTTTCCGCTAAAAGTGAAATAATTAATTTTCAATGTTTTTTTTTATGAAAATCTGTTTGTATTGTAATCTGCGACTGGAACTTTTACTGAACCAGTTGTAAGTCTCATAAATTAGAAATTCAAGGCCGTGAGGAAGGCACTCTTTAGAAGCATGATTAATTGCCAACTGGATAGAATGGCAGACACATTTGACCAAAGTTAGAGATGGAATTTCTCGCTTTAATTCCGTGTAGACACTTTTGTTGCGACCAACCATGACGTTGGCGTTGTCTGTACCAATTCCGATAAGTTTATTAATATTTAGTTTAAGCTTTTTTAATTCTTTTTTCAGACAGTCCACTATACCACCAGAATCTGCATTTTCCAGTTCTGCTAGTGATAGAAACGTAGATATAATTCGGTTATGCGTTTTACTGAAGTAGATGATGACAATGCCTAAACATACATAGAAGAAAATTTAGATTAGAATTTTCAACTAGCACAATAATGTTTTACCGACTTACCGAGAAGTTTTGTTACACTAATGTCAGTGGATTCGTCCAGTAACAAACTAAACTTGGAATCGCCGATGTCCGTCCTTAATTCTTCAAAAAAGTGCGGAGCCAACACATTTTTTATAATATTTGTACACTTCGTTCTATGCAGCCGTATCTCAATCGCATCACTAAATTTTTTTTTGCACATTTCACTTAAATGGTCCACAGGCGCAATGGAGCTATGCTGAGCTACATATAACGCCAAACTAGCTTCCTGCTCCGCTGCTTTTAACGATGCAGGTTTGAATGGTAGCTTAGTTTGATTTACAATGTTCCCACTCATGGTTTCATGTTTTTTTGTCTTGGCGTGAGCCAGCAAGTCGCTTAATTTTGATATTAAGGAGGTTTTGCAGTAAACACAGTATGCACGTCCTTCGTCGTCCTTGTCTTGCCGAATCCATGGCTTTAAAGTTGGATGCTTAGACCACTCAGGTCGAAATTTCTGCTTGTAATTTGATTTTATCATTTTACTTAAATATCACGTTATGATTTATGTACATATTTTGCAACGCCTATGCTGTTTGCGAAATTCAAATTCACTGCAACTGGTATACTTCTTCATGTCAAAAGCTCCATTCACAATATCCAACAAAGAGAGTAGCCAAATTGTAGTGTTATTAGAGAACGTAGAATTATCTACGATATTTGATGTTACTAAAAACTAAAATTTTAAATCCGTAATCATATATATTATATATACTATATTGTATAAGGGAAAAAGCTAAAAATCCGTCAAAAAATTTCTCAAAAAGCTAGAATTCCCGCTTCCCGCAATTTCTCATTTCCTCCCGCTAAATGGACTTCGAAAAAGCCAGATCTGACGGGAAAAGAGCTAAATTGGCAGCCCTGGTCAGGACTGTCAATTCCACGTTTTGAGTGCTTGAAAAATAATTTGTTCGATAAGGCGTGTTAGAGCTCCTCGCATTTGCTTGATGAAAGACCTTTTGTCATTTTTCGTTATTATTCCTCCATTATTCCTCCATTCGTGTGGCCAAGCAAATGGTTGTGTACCACTCAGGATTAACTGTTCTATATTCCTCTTAAGCCACTATAACCACATTACCCGTTGTTGCGTAGAAACAAGTGACCATTTATTTTGAAGTGCTTCTTGCGCAATAAACAATTGTTTGTGTTTTCTTACCTCGAAAAATCTCCATGCATACAACAGGGAGTCGATAACGTCGATAACTATGTTTAACCGGAGATTAGTGTTAACCAGACATTGAGTAACTGGCCCTTAGAAACGCACAGTTGAGTAGTTCCGCTCAGCTCAACAGTTGGCAACATTCTGTCACTTTTTATAACATTGAACGATCTTTTCAACATAGCGGCAGCTCAGTGTTGAATTGGAAATATTATTGGCGCAACTATCTTTATTTAGTTGGGATCCCGTACGAGTCCGGACTAGCAGAAATAGTCAGATTTTACTGGAAACCAATCCCGTACTCGGTTATCTAACTATTGAGAGGACAAAAAACAGAGTAAATAGGGTCTTCTCTCTGTCAGAAGTTACCAGTTTTAGTCCGAAGATTTGTTGCTGGTAAATTCTGGTAAATATTTCAAACGATCTGCTGTAGTGTGTTTGGCAAACAAATTGTAAACAAAGGAAAAGTGCTAACTCATGTTGAAAATTATTTAATTACTTGTTTAAGTGGATTCTAATGAATTTGAAAGTATTTTTGGTTATTTATGTACATCTATGAGCTGGTTGTATTTACATACAAAATAAGCAAAAATTTACAACCAAAATTTGGAGGTTATGTTGAAATTGGCAGAAGGTACCATTTTTTACTAGAAATCGATTCCGTAATTTTCAATGTTACTCTCTCGCTCAGAGCGAATTTTTATTTTTTCACAGTTTTACTAGTTTATTCCGAGGAATACGGGATTATACCTTTTATTGCAACTTCATTTGTTTCATTTATCAGCTGTTAATTTTGCAGCATATTCATCAAGCCGTTTCTAAAGGCTGGTTTTCACTATGTCATATTCTGATGACAAAATTGGTCTATATATTTTGACACACCTTCATCTCCTTTATCCATATTTTTGCTTTTTATTTTATGGGCCAAGAACAGACAAATAGCCGATTTGGCAGCACATATGTATATAGATGAATGAGGGCCTACTCTAATCTAAATTAACCGATATACTTAACAATGTGTTTTTACTTATTAGACAATAAATGCCATGACATAGTGAAAATAAGCCTTAAAACGTAATTGTTGGATTCCACAGTTGCCAGCAGTCTCGTAGTAGTTGAGGTAAACCGCTACGTTCTTTGAACACGTCCAATGAGTGAAAATGCTGGGCCTTCGCAGAGGTAGTATAGGACTGTTTTCTTACATTCCTTTAGACTGCAGCTGCGGCACCGTGGGTTGCACGGGAGGCCCATTTTGGCTGCATGTTTGCCAATAGACCAATGTCCCGTTATCGTGGCAGTTAACCTGACTATACCTTTTCTCAACCTGTTTCTTTCCCCTGTCTTTGGTTTATCATATTGCGGCCATATATTCCTCGCAGTTTTGCAGGTTTTTAAGGTTTTTCGATGAGTCCGAGTGGACGGGTTCTTGTCTCTGCTGCGGATTAGTCTGGAAATGCTCCGACTTTAGCCAACTCGTCAGCTCTCTCATGCTTTGCTTGCTCTCTCGATTCCTAGTACTTCCGCTTGGAAGATGTTAGCACAGTTTGGTGGTCGCAACAAGAGAGAGACATTCAGCATCTCAGAGAACACCCCCGCGGGGCCCCGAGCCTACACTGTAGTCCATTCTGGACCTATTTTCGCCCCCGTCTTCCATGGCCTTGAGGAAAGCAAATAGTTCTTTGGCTTCAAGGTTGCTAACAACCTCTTTGAGTAGAATGGGCAGGATGCCATCCGGATCTGGTGTTTTGGAGCTGCCAAAAGAATCAGACGGCAATTAGCCCAATCACCTGATTTCCTGAACAATGAGTCTCTAAAGCTATGAAATTTTTAGTCTAACTTCTTGTCGCTGTAGGGAACCATTAAGCCTTTTGGGCAGGGACCTAAGTAGCAGTTATTTTTTTCCAACAGTAAAACTTGGGCAGATATTTTTTAAGTTCGAAATAAAAGCCTTTCCGGACAAACCGCTTTTTCCAAATTAACGATCCAGAAATAACGATCGAAGGCTACCATTTCTAATAGAAAAGATATGCATATACCTAACCCAAGGTTTTTTTTATGCTAACTAAAAAACCTTTTTTATTTAAATATTTTTCATTAGCTGGCTTTCTGCTGGCTTGCCTCGTTTAAATATTTCAGTTTTAAATCTAGTTTAGTCCACTTTCAGTTGATACCAAACTTGTTTAATTTGGATAAGAGGTTTGTTTATTATTAGGAAAGGTCTTTTATTTTCGACTTAAAAATATCTGGCCAAGTTTAGCTGTTGAAAAAAAAAGAAACTATTATTTACGGTCCCTGTTTTTGAGTGCAACCAGCTTAGTCGTTTGGTCTTCTTTAAGGGTTTTCACCAGTCTAGATGCTCAGTTCAACATATACATAAATACCACTGCAGTATCTATGAACGAAGCTCTTGTCGAAGAACGAATAAATCTCTTGTACTTCCATCAGGGAACTGCACTGCGCCTAAGGAGTGGATGAGACAAAAAAGCCTCATCAATGCTCTTAAGACACATCTTAATTTTTATTTTTTTTTATCGCCGCCGCTTAAGAAATTTCACATTTTTTGGTATCTTCCGAGAACAGCCTTCTTAACACAAAGCTAAAATTGTAAACGTTCCTTTATATAAAAAAATCCATCGTTTGCCAACGCAAGCTATTTAAAAATAGATAAAAGCTCAAAAGGAAAACCTAGTAATGTATAATAATTCTTAGAAATTAGTATATTGACTCTCTTTGTCACCCTTTTCTTTCAAAAATCATATTGGCATAAAAATTATATAAGGAAGTTTATGTATGTAATTATGTAGATACATGCTAACATTTACCCAAAAATACGCACTTACCTACATACATACATACTTGGTAGATATGTATGCATATACAGTAACGTGCAAACAATTAAAACCCGTCAAACAAGTTCTTTGACCCAAAATGTAATTGAGGCCTTATTAAGTGAAGGCATTCTAAAATGCTTACCCAAGAAGGCTGCAAGTATTTTTAGAGGAGATTTTAGCATTGCAAATGCATTTCAATATGTATACCGTCGCCTCAGAAAACGGATGTCGTATGTTACAAAACAGGGTTTTGAGAAAACTGATTTTGAAGTTTAAGGTCGAATTGTTGCGAAACTAAACGCTAGATTTTTCCACATTTTTAAATTCAATATAACTAAACGTTAATGAGAAAATTTACTTTTCATTCCGATACCCTTAATTTAATAATCCATTTAATTTATAAAATAATTTGAATTTAACTTTTTAAACAGGTGGAAACCCTCTTCCAAGACCTCAAAAATATTCTTAGCGTTCAAATTAAAGATTTCTTAACACTCCTTCGTTTGATATCCATATTTTAATATTTTGTATAACTTGTGTATAAGTAGATAAACTAAGTTCGTCATTTCAAGCAGGTGGCAACCCTTTCCAAAATATTTTCAAACTACTACTTTCTGAAACACCTTTCGTTTGGCACCCACATGGTGATATATATTTGTCCTACCTAATATGATTTTTAAGAAACAAAGCTTTTCAAAACCATTTCGTTTGATACCCAGTTTGTAATAATTTAATTTTTCAAAAGGTGGCAACTCTTCTCAAAAGAGTAAAACCTTATTGCACATCTACAGTTGAAGGCTTTTAGTTTGACGTATCATTTTGGAAAATTGAACGAACAGTGGGGATATTATAGCATCGAAAAACTAAAACCAGTTTGCATATCTACAGACCAAGCGCTTTAATTTGGCATCTCATTTAGATTTTTTTATCCTCAACCAAAAATCCCTTCGTGTATTACATACATACATAGATAAAACAAAAAAGTTTTTTTCTAAGAGCGGTCGCCCCGCGGCAGGCAATGGCAAATCTCCGAGTGTATTTCTGCCATGAAAACAGCTTTTCATAAAAACACAATAGCCGTGTCCGTCCCCTTTGTGTGACAACATCAAGGCGCACGCCACAAATTCGAGGAGAAGCTCGGCCAAACACTAGCATACATATGTGTAAGCGCCAATTTATTATTATTATTATTATTTTTTAAGTCGGACGGATTTCGTAACAAAACTTATGCCATGTCACCGATTCGCTTCAATTTCTTTTATGGGATCCATACAAAATCTATTTAAAAAATCCTAGAATACGTGTTAG